GAATTCTGGGAGTTGAAGTCCACTCATCTTAAAGTGGCCAAGTTTGGACAACACTAGTTTACTGGATGAAGCACTGGATGTTCCATCTCAGAAGTTGATAATCCAAGCAAAATGGGGAAGGGGCTGCTCGTGGGAAATGTCCTGATTTTGCAAAATCGGGTCTCTCTCTCTCACACACACACAGGCCTATAAGGGTCAAAAAGCAAGCAATTATAATTATTTATACTGCTTTCACATAAAACTGGTAATTATACAGGAACAGCTTAGGAACAGCACTTACTGTATCTTCCCAGAAACCACAATTCACTTATGCAATGCTTCCTATCACCATTAAATGAGCCTCTCAAATATTTCTGAGGGAGGAGACTTGTTCTAGTTGTCCAGAATTACTCCTCAATAAGAGTCATGGGACTGGAATTTCGCTAGAAGACTGAACCCCACGTTACTTAGGAAGGCATGATGGCACATGCCCTCATCTAAATCTGCCTGCATAGGAAACATGGCAGGAGCCGCTGTTTTACAGTGACAGCAAACGTCCCACAAAACTCCTGCCAAATAGGAAAGCGATTCTTGAAGGTTTTGGCACTATAAGCACCGAGGAAACAGTCGCATGTATTAAAGCTCTTGATTGGTTCAATTTCTGTGGTGCAGTGCTTTATAATAGTCCAGTCTGAAACACTTAAAAACAAAACTCAGTATGAAAGATCCCTTTAGACAATAGCAAGCTAAGTACTGCAGAAGTCAACAATTTTAGCATCATTTTTGGAAGAAGCAAAGAAAAAGAAGAGAAAGATAGGTGCATTTACCCCTAAAGCCTGGAAAGTAGCAACTTTTAGTTTTTTGTTTGTGGTACAAAGGAGAAACGACCTGAATCTAGGCCTAAACCCAGGTAGCATTAAACGTTAGCACATGGAAATTAGAGTGGAAAAATCTGCTTTGCTGTGACTCAGTGCTTGGGAGCAAAATGGGATAAAGTAAAATGGTAAGTCCAGTCCAGTCTGCTAAATCAGTCTCTGAAATCTTTCAGCCCCAAGGGGCAGATCTCAAGCTAGAAAAAGTTTGGGAGGCTGGGAAAAGAGATTTTAGCATTTCCCTGATATAAACTGCATTCTTTGCCTCTTTCTGCTAAAATAACATGAATCCCTTTGGCTGTCAGTAAATGAATCAAGAGTAGCACTGCAGCTGGCTTATGATCAATTGCAAAGTTTAACTTGGCTGAAGGGTTTGCTTCATAGCTGCAAAATAGAGATATATGTCCTTTCACATTGTTTCAGCAGAATGAACATTTTAATTTTTAAACAGCGGGCAACAACAATATAGTGCAATGGAAGAAATTTGCTTCATTAAAACTGCTACTCTGCATGGTAAACTCATCCATATTGGCATCTTAGCCACTCTTGAGAGCCACTGGTTAGCTAGGGATCTCCTGGGGTTTGCAGCATCCCCTGGCTTTCTGCTTTCATTGCAAGAGAGGTGATCATTCTGCTGATCCCTCTTTACACTCAGAACCATGGATGTCACACAAGATTTCCCAGAACCTGCAATTTTTGGTACCTGTCCCCCACCTCACATGGCAGACTACCACCCATAAGAGCAGATATTCATTAGCGGGGGGGGGGGGGGGGGGGCAGTGCCCCATTCATCTGCAGGAAGCGTTTTTGCTTCTCTGGTAAGCACAATCCAAGCCTTTGTGATGATGCTGGATCAGGAGTAGCATCTGTGCAATTCCACTTCCACTAGATACGTCATTTTAGAATTCAAAAATAGTGAGAGCATTGCCTTAAATGGCCCTCAGAGATCCAAGGGTGCTCTGTGAGCGGCTGGGAACAGAATTAAAAACATACCTATTTATCATATAGAAAATACTGCTTCTCCTCTTTATCAAAAGCTGCACAGGGCCCTATCCCTGATTGTATTGGGCTGCCTGCAAATACAGCATCAGTGACCGCCTGACCTATTGTGATATCCGCCTCAGTGCAGTGACTTCCTCCTTCCTTCTGAACCCCTTTAAGTTCTGTGTTGCTTCAAAGTTCAGCAATATACAAAAATGTTTGCATGTAACTCCGCTGGAAAAGGGAAAGGCATCAACTCTCCAGAAGGAGATGGAAGCAAAGGAGTTCTTTTCTGCAACCCTGGGAAAGTCCATCCATGGCATCAATGAGGCAATTTGATCATAGTTGCCACCCCTTCCCACATAATAGTGCAGAACATTTGACTGATTTGAATATGTGGAAAATCAGTTCTATGGATCCCCTTGACCCACATTTAAGGATCCCCTTGACCATTTTCCTGAGTCAGAAATCTTGGACTTCAGCCTATCCCAGATAAATTAAAAAGAAAGGTGTTCCCTTGCATAATACTGTCTATGTGAAATAAGTGGCTTGAATAGATATGCACTATTTGACTATAATCATTTGACCTCCTGATACATAATTCACAGTTCAGCTGCCCAAAATCTCAACCCTAAGGGCTGTAGCTCAGTAGGAGAGTTCCTGTTTGCAGAGAGAAGGTAGAGGTTTAATCCTTCAACATCTCCAAGTAGGTCTGCAGAAGATCCATGTCTGAAACCTTGAAGGACTCCCCCAGGCAGGACACACAATGCCGGGTTAGAGGCACCAATGTCTGGGATGAAATAACTTTTGAAAGTGTGGAATAAAAAGTGTGGAATAAAATAATTTTCCAGATGTCTGGCAAAGCCTCCAGACTCTGTATCAAAATGCCTCTTTTAAGTTGTCTCCTGGAAGTGTTACTCCATCCCGCTTGGAACTGAACCCTGTGCCCTGAAGCAGCCCACTTTCCACCTTGCTTGGCCTTCCTCTGCCTCGGGGGAGTGGGAAGGGTCTTCCCCTGCCCAGTGTGGAAGGGCCTTCATACATTCTGAGCAAACCCCTTCGCAACAGCTCTGCCCAGATAGTGAGTGTGGAGCAAGCAAGTCGTTTTTGTGTCGGAATTGAAGTTGCAACAGACCTACCTCCCCTCGGCGTTTGGCAAGCAAATGCTGCATCCCCAAAGGGAAGTGACTTGTGGTTTCATGAGGCAACTGGCAGGATGACACTGACAGTGGCAAAAGCCCAGCTCCCGAAACTGACTTCATTGGCAGCAGGACACTCTTGGAAGGACTGCAGCATTTCTGCTTTCGGGGAGGGAGGCCCAAAATTTGCCCCCACCCCCTTTGTACTTGCTCTTTCGTCCGCTCCAAAGCAAGCTTGCCTCATTGTAGGGAAGGAGTGAGGGAACTGCAGCTCAGAGGAGTTCAACAGACCGATTTGGAGATCTTTTTTTTTTTTTTCCAACACAGGCAAGCTGACTGCCAAACCTGAATTGCCAGCAGGGAAAGGGACTGAACAACTAAGCAACTGCTTTAAGTTTCAGCCTGTCTGTGGTGCAGGTTTTTCAAGTCACACACACCTGCCTGTCATACAGACTTTCTCTCTCTCTCTCTCTCTCTCCTTCATTCATACACACTCACACACCTCTAGGGATAAAGGTGCTGTCTGAGGTTCCTGCCTCTGTAGGTACATTCGTCTAGAACCTTGGCTGCTCAGAGAAGATCTCCTTGGCCCAGGTAAGTGCCAGATTGAACAGCAGACCTTGATGACCTGAAGCCTGGAAGAGTGTCTATGCTCCTGCTTCTCCAGTGCGGTGAGGCCTGGGCACCTTGTCTCAGGAAGGGAAGCGAGTTCAGAGTTCTCAAATTATCTATTCCAAGAAGAGGGGTTGTTTCCTCTCAACTTTGGCTGCTACTGCTGCTGCTGCCAGTGTTGGTCTATTTAAAATAAAACCTCACAGAGCAGCGCAAACAAGAAGGAAACCAATGCAGGTTTTATCTCGAGATCTTTGCCAGTTCAATTTTGACAATGGGCGAAGCAATGCGGGGAAGGATAGCAAACAGCAGAGAAAGGGAGAGGCGTGGGACACATTTGTGGATGTTTTTATAAACGTAGGGGTAGGAGTTACTCCAATAGAGTCTTTCCATTGTGCATGTGTATCCACGTTTAGTGTCTAATGTATTTGAGGGCTGATGTGCAAAGGCATTAATGTGATTCTTTACATTAGAAAATGTTGTATATTTGATGTTTGCAAAGACAAACAATTTCAAAGCATTCCCATTTGAAGAAGGAAATGTCCATTTCAAAATAGGGATTTCAATTTTCAGTTCAAAATGTCAAGGGTCTTCTTTTCAACCAGTTATATTTGAGTGGCAAAATTGGAGCTCTGCCATTATGCAGTTGAGAATTCAGGTCAGTTCCAGAATTCTGCTTGGTGTTATCTATTTCCCTGGCGACGTAAGGGCAGCCTTTCATCCTGGGGAAAAGAACCTGTAAACATTGTGGGATCGTTGGTCAAACAGGGTTCCTTTATGAGGAATCGGTTGAGGTGGGCGCTGGGTTAGGAAGCAAACAGCCATGATAATCTCAAAGCTTCCATTTTGTATTATAGTTTTCTGTCGGAGGTACAACTTGCCCTGACCTTGCTGACCTTTGCTTAAACAGAGCTGTTCTGGAGGACTTTTTTTAACGAGCTAGGATAATGCCATTGTGATTTTTAATTACTATAATTATATTTTCCCAATGTTAAATTAATGATTATGCTGTGTTATGATCATCTTACATTTTTTAGTATATTACTGTAAAGGCCATTTCACCTTGTACATTGCACTGACAGTCTTAAGATTGTGATGATCTAAAACTCATATGAGTCCTGCCTCCACCCATCCCAGTGCAGGAATTGTCAACCACAACTTCTTTCCAAAGGTTTCTTTGCAAAACTTAAACTTCTTTCTCTAGCTACGTAGTTGTGGCATCGAACACATTTTACTTATGAGTAGCCACCAGCCGTCAAATGCCATAAGTAAGTAAGCACCTTCATGTTGCAGGCGATTCAAAACCTTGAGTTGAGATCATTCGGCACACACAAAGAGCATCCTTTTGCCACCCTAGTCAGTGCTGTTGTAGAGAAAAGAGGGATTCCCCCATAGGCTGTGTGGTAAGAAGGGCCACGCAGGTAGAAGTTGATGTATTTCTGTTATAAAGCTTCTCATAATGATGGTGCTGGCCAGAAGCTTGTTCTGTCGAGAGTAACAGTGCAAGAAATAAACAGAGGCTAAGAATAGAGCTGGAGCAATGAGTTACAGCCTGATCCACAGACCACTGAAAGATTGTGATGATTGCTGCAAGGTAGCAGACGTTAGAGAAGGTTGTTTTATTCAGGCATGCCTGTGTCCACTTCTGATTCTGGGAAGAAGAAGACGAAAGAGAACATCTCAGGTTGGTTTTGCTTCCTGGGGAAATTAGAATCCTACCATTGTTTCTGCTAAACAGGAGCTGACTAAATACATGCTGATCAAATGGGTTTTTTGACCATCAATCTTATTCCTGCCCCATGGGCAGCCTCCTCAAGCTGTGACCATAAAGAGAAACTTAAGAAGTAGCTTTCTGAGGAAAGTGGAGGGCAGCAGAGCAGTACGCAGAGATTTCTGCAAATATAATTGAGAGGATTAGAAGTCTTTTTTCAAAATTGCCAATCTCTGCTGGGTGGATATGATAGGACAACAGATTGGGGCTGCAAAACTCCACTATCTGGCAATAAGAGTTGGAGGTTTTTTGTATTTTTTTGCTGTCCCCCTAGTTATCATCCAGATTTTGGCAGCTCAGATCAGGGAGCCCTAGCCTGTGCAGATTGCAGCTGGAGAGCCAGTTTCAGAGCCCTGTTCAGAGTTGCCACTAACAAATATATCTGGAAAATAAGAAGGTCTCCGGATATGCTCACCCTTCCTTTTTCCTTTCCTTCATAATCTGACATAAGTGTTGTTTGTAATCATGGCATTACTAGGGCTGAAACACTTCCCATAGTGGGGGAGGGCAATTATTGTACACCACGGAGAGTGAAGAGCATTTGTAGGAATGAATCAATGGCTAGTTCTAAGCCATTCCCCCCCCCCCCCCCCCCCCCCC